GCTCTCTCAATCTGTCATCACAGTCTTCCAAAAGATCTCCCCAGTTCCGCCTACTTTTTGGCTGTGGGTCTCTGCTTGCTTCAGTTAGCTACTGGGTGAAGCCTCCCAGAACACAGTTATGCTAGGCTCCTGTCTACAAGCATAGCAGAGTATCATTAATCATGTCAGGGGTTGGCTCTCTGCCATGTTGTCAGTCATTGGTTTGCCATTTCCTCGATCTTTGCTCCATCTTTATCTCTACAGTTCTTGTAGGCAAAACAAATTTGGGGTCCAAGGAATTATGGGTGGGTTGCTGTGGTTCTCCCTCCACTGGAGGTTGCACCTAGCTACAAGAGGTGGCAACTTTAGGCTCCATATCTCCCTCTGTTAGGGATCTCAGCTAGGGTGACCCCCATAGACTGTCAGGGGCCACCCTTTTCTCAGAGATTCTACCCCACCTATTTCTGTTCTCTCCTCTGGTCCTTTCTCTGCCCATACCAACTACCCTTCTCCCCTCAACTGATTTCATCTCCCTTACCCCATGACCCTCCACTTTTCCTCTCTATATCAACTTCAGATGCCGATTTGATTTCCTTTTCTGCATAAAATTCAAGCATTCTCCCTTAGGCCCTCATTGGCTTCTTTGGGTCTGTGGGTTGTAGCATGGATTTGCTGTAAATTATTGTTAATATCTTCTTATAAGTGAATACATATCATGTGTGTCTTTCTAGGTATGGGTTACCTCACTCAGGATGATATTTTCTAATTCCATCCATTTGCCTGCCATTTCCATGGTGTGTTCTTTTTTAATAGCTGAGTAGTATTCCATTGTGTAAATGTACCACATTTTCATTATCCATTTTTGGTTGAGAGACATCTAGGTTGTTTCTAAATTCTGGCTATTATAAGTACAGCTTCTATGAAGATAGTTTAGCAAGTGTTCTGGTAAGTTGGAGCATCTTTTGGGTATAGGCCCAGAGGTAGCATAGCTGGGTCTTGAAGTAGAACTCTTCACAGTTTTCTAAGAAAATGCCAGATTGATTTTCAAAGTGGTTTACAAGTTTGCACTCCCATAAGCAGTGAAAGAGTGTTTTCCTTGTTCCATATCATCATCAGCATATTTGTCACTTGTGTTTTGATCATAGCCATTCTGACTGGTGTAGCATGGAATTTCAGCATCATTTTGATTTGCATTTCTCTGATGACAAAAGCTGTTGAACAGTTTTTTATGTGCTTCTTCACCATTAATGATACCACTGTTGAGGATTTTCTGTTCTGGTCTGTACCCCATTTTTAATTGGATTTTTTGTTGGTGTTTACTTTCTTGAGTTATTTCTATATTTTGGATATCAGCCCTCTGTCAGGTGTAGTGTTGTAGAAGATCTTTTTCCATTCTGTAGGCTGCCATTTTGTCATATATATAACAGAAGCTATTCATTTTCATGAAATCCCATTTATCAATTGTTATATCTTAGAGCTTAAGTTTGTGGTGTTCTGTTCAGGAAGTTGCCTTCTGTTCCAATGAGTTCAAGTATCCTCCCCACTTTCTCTTTTACTATAATTAGTATATCTGTTTTATGTTGTGGTCTTGGATCCATTTGGAATTGACTTTTGTGCAGGGTTATAGATATGGATCTATTTGCATTCTTCTACACCCAATTAGACCAACACCATTTGTTGAAGTTTTTTTTTTTTTTTTCATTGTATGGTTTTGGCTTCTTTGTTAAAAAAAAAAAAAAGGTGTCTGTAAGTGTGTGAGCTTATTTCTAGGTCATTGATTCAATTCCATTGATGAATCTTTCTTTTCATGTCAATACCATGTGGGTTCAATTACTAGTGCTCTGCAGTATACCTTGAAATTAGTAATGGTGATATCTACTGAGGTTCTTTATTGTACAGAATTGTTTTACTGGGTCTTTTTTTTCCATATGAAGTTGATGTTTGCTCTTTCAAGGTCTGTAAATAATTTTGTTGGACTTTTGATAGGAGTTGCATTAAGTCTGTAGATTACTTTTGGTAAGGTGGCCATTTTTACTATGTTAATCCTACAATCCATGAGCACGGGAGATCTTTCCACCTTCTGATATCTTTTTCAATTTCTTTATTCAGAGACTTGAAGTTCTTGTTGTAAAGGCCTTTTAACTTGTTGATTAGAGTAACACTAAGATACTTTACATTATTTGTAGCTATTGTAAAAAGTGTTGTTTCCCTAATTTCTGTCTTAACCTACTTATCACTTGAATAAAGGAGGGCTACTATTTTTTTAAATTAATTTTGTATCCAGCCACTTAGATGAAAGTACTTATCAGCTGTAGGAGTTCCCTGGTAGAATTTTGAGGTCACTTTTGTATACTATCACATCACCTCCAAATAGCAATACTTTTACTTCTTCCTTTACAATTGTGTCTCTTGATCTCTTAAATTTTCTTGTTGCTCTAACTAGAACTTCAAGTACTGTATTGATGAAATATGTAGAGTGAGAAGCCTTGTCTTGTCCCTGATTTTAGTGGCATTGCTAAAGTTTCTCTCCATTTAATTTGGTGTTGGTTATCATCTTTTTGCATATAGCCTTTATTGTGTGGAGGTATGTGCTTTGTATCCCTGATCTCTCCAACACTTTTAACATGAAGAGGTGTTGGGTTTTGTCAACAGCTTTTCAAGCATCTAATGACAAAATTACATGTGGTTTTTTTTTTCCTTTCAGTTTGTTTATGTGGTGGATTACATTGATAGATTTTCATATGTTGAACTATCCCTTCATCCTAGGGATGAAGCATACTTGATAATGGGGGATGATATTTTTGATGTGTTCCTAGATTCAGTTTGTGAGTATCTTACTGAGTATTTTTTTGCATCAATGTTTTTAAGGGAGATTGGTTTGAAAGTACCTTTGTTGAGTTTCGTGTGGTTTAGGTATCAAGTGACTTTGGAAATGTTGCTTCTGTTTCTATTTTGTGAAATAATTTGAGATGTATTGGTATTAGCTCTTCTTTGAAAGTCTGGTAATCTGTACTAAAACCATCTTGCCCAGGGCTCTTTTTGGTTGGGAGGCTTTTGATGACACTTCTATTACCTAGGGGGTTATGGGTCTATTTAAATTGTTTTCCTGATCTTGATTTAATGTTTGTAAGTGGAATCTATCAATAACAGTTGTCCATTTTTGTCATAGATTTTCCAGTTTCTGGAGTACATGCTTTTAAAGTAACACTAAATGATTCTTTGGATACCCTCATTTTCTGTTATATTCCCCATTTCATTTCTGATTTCATTAATTTTGATACCATCTCTCTGCCTTTTAGTTAGTTTGACTAATTGATTGCCTATTTTGTTGATTTTCTCAAATTACCAGCTCTTGGTTTTGTTGATTTTTTTGTATTGTGCTCTTTGTTTCTAATTTATAGATTTAAGCCCTGATTTTGATTACTTCCTGCTGTCTACTCCTCTTCTATGTGTTTGCTTCTTTTGTTCTAGAGCTTTCAGGTATGCTTTTAAATTGCTGCTATGAGATATCTCCAATATCTATATGGATGTAATTGTTTCTATGAAATTTCCTCTTAGCATTGTTTCATTGTGTCCAATAAGTTTGGGTATGTTGTGCCTTCATTTCCATTGAATTTTAGAAAGTTTTTAATTTCTTACGTATTTTCCCCCTGACCCAGTGGTCATTGAGTATAGTTGTTCAGTTTCCATGAGTTTGTAGGATTTCTGTTGTTTCTGTTGTTGTTGAAGTCCAGCTTTAATCCTTGGTGGTCTGACAAGATACAAGAAGTTAGTTCAGTCTTCTTATATCTGTTGAGGCTTGCTTTGTGTTAGGATGGAATGTTCTGTAGCTACCTGTTAGGTCCATTTGATTCATACTGTGTGTTAGTTTCATTATTTCTCTGTTTAGGTTTTTGTCTTGATGACCTGTATATTGGCGAGGGGTTTGGCATGTGATTTAAGTTTTGGTAATGTTTCTTTACTAGCATGGGTGCTCCTCTATATGGGTCATATATGTTCAGAATTGAGACATCATATTAGTGGATATTTGCTTTCTTAGAAGGAAGTGTCCTTTACCATCACTTTTTATCAATTTTGGTTGAAAGTCTGTTTTACTTGATACTAGAATGGCTACCTCAGGTTGCTTCTTGAATCTATTTTCTTGGAAAACCTTTTTTTTCTGTCTTTTACTTTGAGGTAGTCTATCTTTATTGCTGAGGTGTGTTTGATTGCAGAAGAATGATAGAGCTTTTTCACATACATTCTGTGAGCCTGGGTCTTTTTATTGGAGAATTGCGTACATTGATGTTGAAAGATATTAATGACCAAAGATTGCTATTTCCTCTTTCATTGATGTTTTTGGTATTAGTTGTGTGTGCTTCTCTTCTTTTGCTTTGGTGTTGTGGAATTACTTATTTCCTGTGTTTTCTTGGATGTAGACAACGTCTTTGGGATGCAGTTTTCCTTTTAATATTTTCTTTAAGCTTGGCTTTGCAGATAAAAATTGTTTAAATTTGGTTTTTATTGGAATATCATGTCTTATCCATTTATGGTGATAATTTTTTTTGAGGTATAGTAGCCTAGGTTGGTATCTATGGTCTCTTCAAGGTTTCAAGACATTGTCCAGCCCCTTCTAGCTTTTACAGTCTATGTTGAGAAGTCAGAGTCCTCTCAAAAAAGAAAAAAACTAACTAAAAGGAAATAACTTAGTGATTTATATTATCTGGCAGAGTCATGGGCCATATCAATAAACTACAGGAAGAATGACCTAGATTCCTGAAAATTACATCAAATTCATCATTTGACTATGGGATCCTGAGGTAAGAGCACAATTATCTCAGCTATGCAGTCCTGTGTGTCCAGGAAATCACAACACTCTTGATGTTTTCTGAAGCACACTGCAGAGATGTGTGACACCACAATGCCTGTGGTTTCCCAACAACAACCCAGGTGTATAAAAGGCCCTTGGCAGATGGTGACAAGACACCCAGACTCCAGGAACCTCCTGCTTGTCTTCCTCTGAACAGTCCTCTCCTGACACCATGTGTTACTATGGCGGATACTATGGAGGCCTGGGCTATGGCTATGGTGGCCTAGGCTATGGCTATGGCTGTGGTTGTGGCTGTGGCTATGGTGGCTATGGTGGCTATGGTTATGGCTGCTGCCGCCCACTGTGCTGTGGAAGGTACTGGTCCTGTGGCTTCTACTGAAGAATTTTTGCAGCTGCTCATCCCAATTTTCTTCACGTTAGAAGTTCTTAAATAATTTCATAAGTTCCAGTCTTATACTAAAAATACTTAAGTAAAAAATACATGCTCACCTATTTCCTTATCTTTAACTTTAATTCATAAATATTTGCCAAGAAGCTCTTCAGTGTTATTTCAAAGGATTGGAAAATGTGCTCTACTTGTGATATTACCCTTTTTATGAACTTTGTATGCTTTTAAATAAACTATTTTTTTTGAAAATATCGTTTTCTATAGCCTTCCTAAATGTGGATGAATGTTCATATATTTATATCTATTTCTTTGCACATGTGTGACTATATATAAAGGGGAGAAGGATAAGGAGAGAACAAAAAGAAAGAAAGATAGAAAGAAGGGAGGAAGGAAAAAGAAAAAGGAAGGAAGTAGGCAGAAAGAAAAAAATGAAGAGAGAAAGATGGAAGACACAGAGAGAACACTTTAAACATTCTTGTACTGGTAGAGATTTTTTTTATTATCTTCATATTGCTGCTATTGTAATGTCACCTTGAATTAAGAAATGCAGATATTTCTTTGAGACTAAATTCTTTTGTCTGCTAGAAAATATTTGAGAATTATCATTTCAATTCTCTAAATATTCAGAGACTATCCAAAGTGCCTTCTATAGCATGTTACCATACACATTCCCATTGTGTATAAAATTCCCTCAACTTCATATGAGCTTTAACACCCATTTTCTGGCTCATATCTATTTTAATAGCAACTGTTGAGTATATGCTTACTGTGACTTTCAGATTTGAAAGTTCACACTTGGTGATCTGCAGATTCTCCTTTGAAAAAAAATGTTCATGAGTCTCTAAGAACTATATCATAAATGTGTTTCCTTTATTTTTTATTTGTAGATATAAGTTTTGGCTATCGACTTCCTATTCTTTGTATAGTGTGGGGATTGTCCTGTTATGTAGAAATTTTAAATGGACACGAGATGACTTTATTGTTTTATTTTTCTTGCTTGTGCTTTTGAAGTCACATGCAATCATTTGTGAGAATATGTAAAGAAACTGTTTCATTATGTAGCCTTATTTATTATAAGTTCTTGGAGAACTTTGTTTACTGTATTTGGTTATAATTAATGGCTTTCTCTACCTCTTCTTAGGACAACCATCTTTATGTCTGACAAATTTTGTGTACCTTTGTTCATAAACTCATAAAGCCCAATTTATACTGCCTATACTTCAAGGATGGGTACTTACCATCTGGAGTGTGTTTGACATACCTAGAGCCACAGCCCTAAAGAATCTGACTCCCCACATACTGGCAACTATTAAAGAGAAATAGCTCCTCAGTTAAAAGTAGGAATTTGTGACGACTTTGCCAGTTCATGATAGGATTTTGTCTTGCTTGAGCTTCCTGTCATAACATCTTTGTGTCTATACATGAAACTGGCCTGTGATAGCTAAAATACAATGATCCATTGTCCCTTCATACATTCCTGAGCTACACCTCGATCTCAACACAATGTGTGTGTGTGTGTGTGTGTGTGTGTGTGTGTGTGTGTGTGTGTGT